GTCCATTTCTGACCAACAGATTGTCAAATTAGAAACTGTGAAGGGTCTTTTACCCTACTTGAAATTTAACAGGTTACCCTGCCACAGTTTGATATACATATACTGACAGAAAACACAATACCCATGGGTCAGAGAAAAAGACCATTTATTACTCTTGGCAAAAGCAGCAACCAAAGCAGTGCCTTGCAGCAGGTCCCTGAGTTCCAAACCCATAGGGCAACATTGTGAAGTTGCCTATACATGCAGTAGGGTGTGTATAGGAGAGAGACAGACAAAATCAGAAGACATTTACTCTGCAACATAAGGAAATCTTCACCAAGGAGGGAGAGGGAGACTTTACTCCCTTGTAATGTCCCCAGAGAGGGAAATGTTATCTGTCTTTATTGTACTAGTCAGGAAACAAATCTTCTCTCTGACATTAAGGTAAATAGTATCTCTAGCTTTCTAGGGCATTTGCTATGCAAATCCCTTTGCTCAGAAGACCCAGACCATGTGTGAGATATTTATAGACAATTGTCTCCCAGCACAGATTTTCCCAGATTTCTCTTGGCTTCAAATATCTCTTGTATAGTCTCTACTCACTGTCTCTGTAGTCTTACTTTCTGTCAGCTCCTTGTACTTCTCTGCTCTATCATTCTGCTGAAAACTAATCTCAAAGGGACCAGTCACATGCCAGTCACCCTATCAAATGATCTTTTCTTAATCATTCATGATTTTTTTGCAGCACAAAGGCTATACTTTCTTCTTTTTAACTCTGCAGTACTCTACTGTTTTCTATGACTCGTCTGATTCTTATATTTCTCTCTCCTGCTCATCTCTCTTTCCTTCTTTTGTGCTTTTTAATTCTATTAAATATGAGCATAGGACAAGTTGACTTCTCATTCTGCAAGGGTACATGGAAGTTCATGGGAAAAAGGAATTAGAAGATAATATGAATCTTTCCATGAACTTTTTGAAGACCCCCTCATACGTTTGTTCCCTCAAATGTCTTCTACTCTGAGTTTTAGCTGTCACCTCTGCAGGTGACTAGTTTCCTTCTTACATTCCAAGACTTACCTGTCTTCTTTATTTTTGCCTAGATGTAATAAATTTTAAAAATAAGAATCAATTCCATGACCTGACTTTTTAATTTGTCAGGGGTGCTCCTCATTCTATCAGTTCTTTAGATTCAAAACTTGAGAATATGGTTGAGTGGACTCATTCAAATTCAAATTCTTTGACTAACTCTAATCTATTTTCCATACTGTCACCTAAGAGATCACTCAAACACAGAATTATGTTACAGAGTTCATAGATGGTTAAAGCCTAATTTCTAGCATTTTATACAAGGCCTCCATGATGGGATGACTGCTTGCCTCTCCAGCTTCAACATTGGCCGTATGTCCCACATTCCCTCACACCACACCAACAAGATACTTGCTTTGACCTGACTTCACTACTCATTTATTCACACACTTTCTGAAAACCTATTATGAACCAGGGATTATGCTAGGCACTGCAGCTATAAATCTGAATAAATTATGGTCTCTCTTAAGAGGGAAATAAATATGTAAATAAACACTATAGATATGATTAGTAATGCAAGGATACAAAGTGGTTTCTCTCTCCTTAAGGCGCTTAATGTGACAATATAAAGGATGACACTTAAGTAAAGTCTTAAAGAACGAGTTGAAATTAGTTATATGGCCATGAACACGTATTACAGGTAAAGTACAAATATGTACAAAGGCATGAAGATAAGAGATTGAATCCCTCATTTGAAGAGTCATAAACAATTCAGAATGACCAGACCATATGATTGAAGGTGAGGATAAAAGGATGGGAAGGTGGGACTAGGTAATAAAAGACCGTTTATGTATCAAAGGAGTGTAGACTTTTTCCTGGAATAGTATGATCAGATTTACTTTATTAAAAGAAGTCGGCCCATCATAATTTATTCAGGCAAGAATCATTAATCAATATTAAAACTAGTGGTTGAAAGTTTGAGTAATAAAAGATATGCACATAGTCTCTAAATATCTCTCCACATGATACTTATTATAGTGGGGGAAAGAGTAACTTAGGAGAAACCCTGAGGATGCCACAATAACCAATTGATCAAAGTTAATATCACAGTCATGGGACAAATCAACGTCATGAGCCCCCTTATGTAAGAATGCAGCACCATCACTTCTGTGGTATTCCTACCGAAATGCATAACTTGAATCTAATCATAAAGAAGCATTAGATAAACCCAGACTGAGAAGCATTGTATGAAATTACTTGTCTGTAATTGTGTAATTACAAAATTGTGAATATCATGAAACACAAAGGGAAAAAATGAAAATTAAAGGAGACCAAACGTATATGAAATTTGTATGTAATGCATAAACCTGAATTTTTTCCATAAAGGACATTATTGAAAAAATTGACAAACTATCAGTATTTAATTTTATGGTTTTTGTAATTATACTGTGGTTACATATGAGAATTTCATTTTTAAGGAAGTATACATTGAAGTACTTAGGCATAAAGGAGCATCACACAACTTACTCCCAAATCATTTTTTAAAATCATATAGAACACCTGTGTTTATATCAGCATTATTCACAATAGTCAAAAGTTAGAAGCTACCCAAGTGTCCATTGATGGGTGAATGGATAAACAAAATATAGTATATACATACAATGGAATATTTATTATCCAGCCTTAAAAAGGAAGAACATTTTGACACCCCACAACATGGATGAACCTTGAAGATAGTATGCTAAGTGAAATAAGTTAGTCACAAAAGGAAAATATTGTACGGATCTACTTATATGAGGTACTTATATGATCCTATTTCAATATTTCAATTTTGAATTTGTATGGATCTTATTTCACTTATTTCAATATTTGTAGAAAGTAGAATGATGGTCGCCAGAGGCTGGAGAAGGAGGCAGTAGGGAGTTATTGTTTAATGGGTACAGTTCCAGTTTGGGAGGATAAAGAGGTTCTGGAGATGGGACATGTTGATGTTTGCACAAGACAACAGCATGAATATACCTAATACCACTGAACCACACACTTAAAAATGGTTAAAATGGTAAATTTTATCTATACAAGCTTACTTCAGAAAGTTCATTGGAAAATCAAATTAAAAGGTAATATGAATGTTTCCATTAACTTTTTTGAAGTACCCTCGTATTTTGCCACAATTTTAAAAATAAAAATAAATTATATATGGAGACGTGGGAATAAAGGAAAAGTAGTAAAATGAACAGTTACCCTCTAAAGATGTAGATAGAGGGCCGAGCCCGCGGCGCACTCGGGAGAGTGCGGCGCTGTAGCACAGCAGCGCTCCCACCGCGGGTTCGGATCCTATATAGGGATGACCGGTGCGCTCACTGGCTGGGCGTGGTGCGGCCGGTCTCAAAAAGGACAAAAATAAATAAATAAATAAATAAAAAATAAATAAAGATGTAGATAGAGTTAAGCATGGAGGCAAAGAAACCAATGAGAAAGCTGTTGTAATAATCTCCAGGGGTAGTGGAGATAGAGAAAATGGGTGTATCTGAGTATGATGTAAGTGGTACAATTAAGGGATCTGTAGTATAATATTTAGACTCCTCCATTACATCCACCTTCTGGTAGATGGTGATATTGTTAACCAAAATGCAATAGAAATGAGTATATGCACAGGCTGCTATCTGCCTGAGCATTCACCTGCCTTACACCCATTTACCCTTCATAACTTGGCTCAAATGTGACCTCTTTTGTGAAGTCCTCTTTGACTCTCTGCACAGTTTTTCCCCTTATTCTTCTTACCCTTTCCTGGACTGAATTGGTCTTTCTCCTTCCTAGATTTTGTGGTAACATCTTTTGCATTTATATCACAATGTGTCAAAATAGATGGTTTATCTGTTTCTTCCATGCACTGAGCTCCTTGAAAGCAGAAACAGTGGTCATGTTTATGAATCCATAGCACCTTTCATAGAGTGTGGCATGTAATAGGTGCTCAGGTAATGTTTGAATGAAATCAGGAAGTTACTGAGAACATACGCTACTTTTCTTTATAACATTTTGTACTTTCCTCTTTCTTTCCAGGCCCCTGGAGTTCATACCCTATATCAATAGTCTTATAACTGATCTTTCTACTTCTATTCTGTAGTTCCTTGATAATAGCCTACATACATTAATGCTGGATTAGTGAAATCTCATATATTGGAGTACCTATATAAAAACCTTCAGGGCTGGCCAGTTAGCTCAGTTGGTTAGTGTGTGGTGTTATAACACCACAGTCAAGAGTTCAGATCCCCATACCAGCCAGCCTCCCACCCACCCTTCCCCCCCCAAAAAAAAAAAAAAAAAAAACCTTCAGCATCTTCCCATTATCTAAAGTCCAAGTTCACCAGTAAGGACTTGTGAACTTTCACAGTATGTTCTTGAATATATAATATTTATTTAAATTCTACTTACCTACCTGCTTAACTTTATTCAAAAAGTATTTGAGCACCTGCCCTTTGCAAGCCTTTACTAAGGAAGAGAGTTTACTAAATATGATATATGCTCATTATCTTAGTGTTTATTTTTTGGTCCCTTGTTTCCTTTCACTACTTTATTTCATCATAAGGGAAAATAATCTTTGGAGAACACTCAGCCATATTCATGTTTCAGTAAGAAGTTCCATTTTAGGACAAAACATGCATAATATAATAAAGTTTAGGATCGGTGGCGAGCCATCCATCACAATGTCTGGCTCATAATAAAAGATCAATAAATGTTTAAACTGAATTCTTAAATTTTTAAAGGTAGAAATTTTAGTTTAAGATTATAACATAGTAAGTTATTAATATACTGTTTAAGCCTTTGGAAACCTGTCTATTTTTGCTTCATGGTAGTTCTACTGTTAACATTTGAACTTTACTTGCTATCTATTATTACTTGCAGTTGTATCACTTTGAAACACAATGTCAAAACAAATTTTAAAATACTGTTTTACACATGTGTTTTCAAAACTTGTTTTTATACTCTCTTTATAGGTTATATGTAAAGTCAGATGTGCCACTGAACTTGACAAACATAAGTAAGTTTCATGAGTATCTAAATTTCTATCTAAAAGATATAAAGCATTAATTTACTGATATTAATGCTTAGTATCTAAAAGATCTAATTTTTTTTTACAGTGGACTTCTCAAGGTAGAACGGAGTAGTTGTTGAGGGTGCCTTAGCAGTTTTATAGAAAATCAAGTAGTGAGATTGGGTCAAAGGAAGTCATTTAGTAGCCCACAGTTCTCCTGCTTCAGCCAGGCTGCTGCCTAATACCATTTTTTTTTCCCCTGCTCTGCCAATGTACAGCTTCAGAAGTCAGATGTAGCTTCATAGGGTCCACATATACTAAAGTTGGATTATGCTGTTTGGTGTGAGAATGTAGAGTATAGTTCCCTGAATTAGGTAACGTTTCAGTACTAGTTAATCTCAAAAGTGAGAGTGCTAAATTGTGGAGTTAGGAGACTTGGGTTTCAGACCCACTTCTCCCACTAACTTGCTACCTGTGCAACTCATTTAACCTCTTTATTTTTTGGTTTCCTGAACTACTATAATTCCCTGGATATACAGATATCCAGAAAAGTCCTTTTTGGATTTCAAACTATGTAATTATTGGTTTTATTATTTAATCTGAGAGAATATTAATCTGTAACCTTTTCAAACTTAAGTTTTCGTATTTTGCACATACACGAAACAAAATTTGCTCATTACAGATTACATATTACCTTCAACATACCTTGTATAAACCATTTTGAAAGGCAGACAATACTTTATGATTCCTATTATTGAAAGTGACGCAAAATAGAAGATATCAGGATGCCAAATAAATTTCTTGATCATATATATTTGATCTGGGGTATAAATGTATGTGAAGTGGGATTATTTTCATGCAGCGAGTTGTTACTTCCACTTAATGCAGATAGCCGCACCTTATCTGCAGAATTTCTATGAGGTTGTCTTCTTAGGGGGGAGAGGTTAAGCATTTTATATTCAGAGTTGCTCTGTATACATAGTAAATATGCAACTTTAAAAGAGGATGAGGTCTTCATGAGTGCTTGAAGCTGTACATATACTGTCTCTATGTAATTCTTAAGTCAAATTTGAAAGCAGTTCTTGCTGTGGATAAAGAGAAGTTCATAAAACTGAACATTGTTTAAAAACACATTTCCCTTACCTCTTAAAATTAATATTAGATAATCGATTTAAATTTAGGTTACATTATATTAATTTTCCAAGCAAATTATAAAAGACTGCTTATTCTTGGAATGGTCAATGAAAATATGCTTAATATTTATAAAAATGAAAAATTTAGGGTTACATGAAATAGTGTTAAAATAGTCATATATTATTAATCTTCCTGGGAGAGGCAACTGAATTTGAGTCCACATGAGATTATTTCTGAATTAATGCTTACAAGTCTCTGCCATTTTTAAATGGTTTAGATGCTAATTTAATAACAGCAAAAAAACCCAGGTAGCTCTGAGAAATTATTAAACTTGTATTTAATGAAATTATAAACATTTTAACTGAAGGAATTATTGTACCTAAAATAACACACTGACTCAGAATTAAATTTAATTCCTCATTGGTTTTATAAATATCTAATAAACTTATTTTTTTCTTTCAGAATTCTACTGCATTTGGGCTTTATATTAGCAAGCCTTCTCTTTTTAGTGGTGAACTTGACTTGTGCAATGCTAGTCCACGGAGATGTCCCAGAAAATCAGTTAAAATGGACTGTCTTTGTTCGAGCGTTAATTAATGATAGCCTGTTTATTCTTTGTGCCATCTCTTTAGTTAGTTACATATGCAAAATTACAAAAATGTCATCAGCAAATGTCTACCTCGAATCAAAGGTAAGTATATTTCTTAAATTTTCACTTGAAAATTAATTTCAAATCCTTATCTTATGAACCATATTTTAATGAAAAGTTTATATTGCTTTTTAAAAAAAGTATCCTATATGACAGGTACATTTTTGAGCATGAAAGAATAGACACTAGAAATTAAAAGATATCCAGAACTTAGCCCCTACTAGAAAAATAAAAAGCTTATACTAAGTATATTGTATTTTTTATGACTGGGCATTGGAGGCTAATTAAATGAAATAAACAATAATTTATACAAATGGATCAGAAATAGTTAATATATAAAGCCACACCAACAACTAAAGATTTTGTCCAGTAACAGTAGCAATATTGCCATTAAACAAAATTTACCAGATTATATTTACGTACACTTAGGTTAGCAATATTATGATGTCATATAGGTAAAGTGTTTATTTATATAAAGGTTTAGAAAATGTTACTTCACCCCATAATATGAAGTCCATATGATATTTGAAACGTCTAGTCATGTAGCTAAATTTATAAATGCCCTGCTTCTTCTTTTTCTTGTACTTTGGATCAACAAACAGAAGCCAAATCCTAACTCATTAATGAAGAACCATGAAAATTTCTATGTTGTTGATTGAAATGTGGTTGAGCAGTAAATTGATCATCACAATATACATGTGGCATTGGGTGTAGGGGCGTAAATATGTAGATATTGGGGTATGGGCATACACACACACACACACATTTTTACAATCACTTGTCCAGGAGAGCTTGGTTTAATTTGGCATCATTGTCTATTCACTGAAGATAAACAAGATAGTATCTTAAGCAGATAGAACAGTTCTCTGAAATATTTTTATACTTCTGTGTTGTCATTATCCTTAATATAGTCCTAGAAGAGTAAGGTTCTATAACTAAACATATGGTAGTCAACTTGTCCTTTACATTTAGGTGGAGATTTAATTTTACTTTTTAAACATATTTCAGTGGAATCCCAGGATGGGAATATATATATGTACACACACATAGAGAGAGAAAGAAGAGAGACAGAGAGTCAGGCTTTCAAACCTATTAATCTTATCTGGAAAATGATTTTAATTCGATTTTATTCTAAAGACTTCCTAAAATTTAAATATTTTAGCTAATTCTAGCTTCAGTTTGAATTTTAAGAATGATACTGTCACTTATTGTCGTTATTCTCCATAATCGTTTGATGGTAGCAATAAAACCTTCAGTTAGTATAATAACATTACCATAGAATTCATACCTGCTGTTTGTCCAGTGACAGAGCATAAAAAGATGTGGTTGAATTTAAATTTCTTCTTCTCTGGATACCTAGTAACTTTTAAAGTTTGTTTTTACTTGCTTTGAAATAGATAATACTCTGAATACAGTAAAGTTTCTGAGAAGAAAAATTCAGCTGATAAATCTTCCAGAATTATTTTAAACATCTTTCCCTATCATATGAAAGGTATTCACTTATGATCATCATCATGATCATAATTTTTAAAGTCTTAAATTTAAAATCTGCATGGATTCAGAATTATTTAGGGACGCTATAGAGAAACATGTTCAGATAAATACCTATAAAGGTTCATGAGCTTATTTGTATTATATCGTACTTGTTTTAGTCCATTTGTGTTGCTATAACAGAAATACCTGAGACTGGGTAATTTATAAAGGAAAGAGGTTTATTTGGCTTACAATTCTGGGACAGCTGCATCTGGCGTGGGCCTCAGGCTGCTTCTACTCATGGCGGAAAGTGGCAGGCAGCTGGCAGGTACAAGCAGATCACATGGAGAGGAAGCAAGAGAGAGAGGGAAGGTGCCAGGGTCTTTTTAAGCAACAAGCTCTCGCAGGAACTAATAGAGCGAGCATTCACTCATTAATCCCCCTTCCCTAGGGAAAGCATTAATCCCTTCATGATGGATCCGCCCCCATGACTCAATCAGTTTCCAACACTGCCACATTGGGGATCAAATTTCCACATGAGTTTTAGAGGCGACAACACATCCAAACTCCATCGTACTGTTATGTAGTTCTTGGTCTTCCTAAGTTATAAATGTCTGTATCCAATAAGCATACTATCTGGCTTTTATGTTCTCCTTGTAAAATCACTAGGCTCATTTTTGTTTTTTGACTTCTATGACAATATACAGTAATAGCCATTCCTTTTATTTAACCAACAAATATTTGTTGACCATCTTCCTCCTCTACTTCAAACAGACCCTGTTTCTTGCTGTCTCTAAGAATATTTCCTTAAAGCTCAGACTTTGGTCTTCCGTTCTCTTCTTTTCATTCTTCCTTCTTCTACATACTCTGTGATCATGAGATCCTCCATAATTTGTCTCAACCAAATCTCATCTACCTTATTTCTGAACGACACACAGTATGCCTTCCTATCTGTATATCCTTAGGCTGTTTCATTGTGCTTGAATGCCTTTTCCCCTCCCAAAGCTCTTGTATTAGTCCGTTTGTGTTGCTATAACAGAATAACTGAGACTGCATAATTTATAAAGAACAGAGGTTTATTTGGCTTACAATTCTGGGACAGCTGCATCTGGCACAGGCCTCAGGCTGCTTCTACTCATGGCAGAAAACGGCAGCCAGTGGCAGGTACAAGCAGGTTACATGGCGAGAGGATGCAAGAGAGAGAGAGGGGAGATGCCAGGGTCTCTTAAACAACCAGCTCTTGCGGGAACTAATAGAGCAAGATCTCGCTCAGGACCCCCACCCTCCAGGGAGAGCATTCATCCATTCATGATGGATCCACCGCCGTGACTCAAACAGCTTCCAACACTGCCACATTGGGGATCAGATTTCCACATGAGTTTTGGTGGGGACAACATATCCAAACTCTATCAGCTCTCTACCTGTTTGTCCATATCTTACCCAACTTTAAAGACCTAACTCCAGTGTTTCCCCTTTTTATGAACTTAATTTTGTCCCTCTCCCCATCTCTAAAGTAAAATTTACAAATAACTCACTATCTGAATTATTATAAAATTTTCCTCCTAGGAATGAGGAAATGTTCCTCTTAGGACCTTATCAGTTTCTACTAGGGAGCAATTGTGTGTACATGTCTCATTTTTCTGACTGAAATCTGAGCTCTTAGAAGGCAGGGCCACCTATTATTAATATTGCCCTGGGTGCTTCACACCTTGAGGGTCAATAAGGTTTATTCAAATGATTGCCTGCAAATTTTTATTTCTATCCAGTTCTGTACCTCAACTACCTTTTGGATATTTTCACCAGCCTAAATACTTCATTCTCTTCCTACCTGCAACCCCTACCTCTCTCTGTCTCTCTAATTTTGTCATTGTCATGATCTCCCATTTATTTGGACTTAAATTTGGAGTACTCTGATGTTTCTTCACTCCTTGTTTCCTAAAACTAACTCCTGTCAACATTTTTATTTTAAAAATTTCTTCTATCTATTTTTCTACATTTGAGCAACTTGACAGGAAAAATAACCTAATGAGCATAACTATCAGTATCTACTATGCACCAGGCACTGTTCTAGTTGGTTTTTACACTATCTCATAACAATTCTATAAGGTGGTCTGTGATATTGTAATATAATAAGAAATAAATATTTGGTCTCTGTCCCTGGTTCCTGGCACACAGCTCCTAAAACTTTGGGATCTTGGAGAGATGAGTATTTTTGTATGCTAAGATGATAGGTGGCTGAGGCCCATAGATAGTTCAGGATGGTGGCCAGTCACCAGAAAGACCTAGGCATGATTAGAAGGTTAGGACATTCAACCTAACCTCTGGGGAGGGGAGAGGGGCTAAAGGTTGATTTGATCATCAGTGGCCAGTGATGTAATCAATCATGCCTGTGTGATGAAGCCTCCATAAAAACTCAAAAGTATAGGTTTTGGGGAGCTTCCAGATTGCTGAATATATGGAGGTGCCTGGAAGGTGGCAGAGAGGGCCTGGAGCTCTGCAGCCTTCTCCTCCACAATTTGCCCTATTTATCTCTTCCATCTGGCTGTTCATCTATATCCTTTGTGATATCCTTTATAATAAACTGGTAAACATAAGTGTTTCCATGAGTTCTGCGAACTGCTCTAGCAAATTAATCTAATCCAAGGAGGGGGATGTGAGAACCCCAGGTCTATAGCCAGTCAGTCAGAACTATAGGTGATAATCTACTACTTGTGATTGGCATCTGAAGTGGGGGCAGCCATCAACCTGTGGTATCTAATGCTATCTCCAGGTAGATAGTGTCAGAATTGAATTAAAATATAGGACATTCAGTTGGTATCCACTGGAGAATTGGTTGCTGGTGGGGAGAAATCCCCACACATTTTGGTGACCAGAGATGATGTATTTTGTTGAGTGGTGAGTGGTGTGTGAGAGTAGAGAGCAGAAAGAGACTTTTTTTTCCTTCAGATGGTCTTATTTCTATTTCACCAAAAAAAAAAAAAGAAGAGGAGCATTGAGCTGAAGAGGCACAGGTAGTACGACTTCTAAGGCAAGGCCTTATATGACCTGGCTCTTGCCTGTCTTTCTGATATCCCACCACTACCACTCTCCTCTTCCTGTTCCAGCCACATAGGCTTCTTGTTCCAGAGTTTCTCACCACAAAATACATACTAAGTTTATTCCAGCCGTATAACTTTGTACATGCTGTTCCCTCTGCCTAAACTGCACTTCCTACAGATAAGTATGTGATGGCTTCTTATCATTCAGGCCTCAGTTCAGATGTCACTGTTTCAAAACGGCCTTTTTTTGTGTGTGTGTCCGGCAACGGATCGCAACCCTCAGTGTCGCACCCGTACCGGACCGGGGACCGGCAACGGGATCACAACCCTCGGTGT